GGGCGGGGAGCCAGGGCTCCTGGGTTCTCTCCCCAGCTCTGGGAGGGGAGTGAGGTCTAGTGGGTGGAGCGGGGGGGGGCATTCTCAGAGTCTAGGCTCCCAGGTTCTCCTGTGATACTAATAATAATTCGAGCCGCGTGACAAAGAGAATTCCGTTTTTGAGACAAATTTCCCAAGTGACAAACGTTTTTTGTTTTGCTGAACTCCACGAGCGTTCGGCCCCCAAATGTCTGTGAGGCTCTGGGCCTAGACGCCCGCCTGAGGTCGCGTCCGGCCGCCCATTCTTATGACTCTATGAAAAGCCACGTTTCTGACGGAAAACGTTCCTGCCCACTCGAACCATAATAACGAGCAAACCGAGGCACAACTCACCTTCCGCAGAGACTTTATCAGCTCCTTCACCTCCACCTGCAGCATGTTCCCCAGGAACGGGATGGGGGTGGGCCCGGGCGGCAGGTTGCCCCAGGTTTTCTTCTTCCGGGTCGAGAGGAGTAACAAGCACATGACGCATATTGCCAGGAGGATGCTGAGGGTCCCACTGAAATCCATCCTGGAGCCGGCCTGTCTGCTCTGCTGCTCTTCGCGTTAGACCCTGGGTGATGCTGGCAGAGCCTTGTCTATCTAGCCCCCCCCCCGGGGGCCGTGCTGATAACGGCCCTCTTTGCATCACAGCTCTGGGTAAATAATTGCAAACGCTGCTGGATGGCGAAATTTGGAATTTTCCCCTGGGGCCCCTTGCGCCATCCATGGGGACCACCTGGGACAGCTCCTCCGCGGGGGCTTGAACCCACAACCTCGCTCGCAAGCCTCCCTCACTGACCCGCCGTGTCCTCTCCATGGTGGACTCGTTCGCCTCGGCCCCGGGCGAGGGAAGGACTCAGCGTGGGCTGACGTGTGTTTATCTGGTGCGTGTCCACGGGCTGGGGCGTTATTCACCAATAAGGAATTCCGCCACACGAGCAGTTTATTCACTAGGGGAGGACCAACGACCACCAACTCCTTCAGTGCATCACTGGCTCGCTCTGTGCCTCAGTTTCCCCAGCTGTAAAATGGAGAGCATAGGCTCCCTCGTTTGGCTGTTCAGAATGAAATCTCTTTAGGTTGGAGTCTGGCTGTAGCTAAATGGCGTCTTGAACTCGGTTGGAGTTCTTAGGCGCTATTGTAATTAAAAAATAATAATAAAAGACAGGGTGAGGCGCGGTCTGGTGAAAGAAATCACAAGATCTTTACAGACAGGGAAGTGGGACACAGAGAGATTCAAGGCTGGGGCAGAGAGGACAGCCAAAGGCAGAGCTGCTGGGTCCTAAGCCAGTGTTAATCCCAACCCGTCAGCTCTCACCGCAGCTGATGCGTTTATTTGCCTGGTGTCAGGAGTTCACTGATAAACCATTTCATAGGAGGGAGGAGGGTAATTCTACTGCCAGACACCACCCCTTTCCCTTTCGTTAATGAGTAAACGTCCCCTTGCCCTCAAGTGGCTGGAGAGGACATGCAGTTATATTTTAAAAAAATGTTAAAAGGGGAAAAAGTGTTTTTTCTCCAATTTTTCTGACCTGTGAGTGAGCTGAAATACGTCCATTCTTTGCACAACTCTGCTTAGACCCAAAGTGGGGTTTGGTTTAGCGGGGGGACCAAAAGTTTCAGAGCAAAAGGATTTTAGAAGCACACACGTCTGTCTTCCCTAAAGCTCTCCCTTCCCCAGATGGTAACCTGAGCAGGGCCACCCAGGGCATCGTGTGTCGCAGGCCGGGCCCCAAACTGGACCGGTCCCCACACTTGGCCCCTTTGACTTCCTGTTGACTCCCCATAGACTTCCCATTGACTTCACCAAGTTCTGCCTCAGCAACGTAACGACTGAGCAAAAACTGACTCCAGTCTGTAATATTGGGCTCATATTCAATTGTCTCCCAAACGCTGTGGGGGCTCAGGGTGGAGTTTGGGTTCCTGAGACCCCCCCATTGGTGAAGTCAATGGGAATTCTGTGGGGAGTCAAAAGGATGTCAATGGGGAGTCAACAAGAAGTCAAAAGGGCCAAGGGGAAATCAATGGGGCGTCAACAGGAAGTGAACGGGACATCAATGGGATGTCGACAGGAAGTGAATCAGGAAGCCAATGGGAAGTCCACCTGGAAGTCAGTGAGACCTTGGGTGGGCTACGGGCCACAATATACCCCACAATGAGACCTCAGTCTTAGCTGGGTCCTCCAGGCACTACCGTAATGCATGTAATAGCAATAGTGTAATGAATACGACTCTCACCCTTGAGCAATGTTTCCCTTCTGAATCGCTGGCAGAGCCGGAGACGCCTGCTCCAGGGATCCAGCGGGCGAAGCCGTAACCACAGTAGTCTGGGTGGGTGGCACTGCGGTTAATTATTACCTGTCCTGCCACCGAGCAGATCGGGCAGCTCACCCGGCCGGAGCGGCCGAACCCCGTTCCACCATGGAGCTGTCTGGAGTCCTCTCTCTGCTCCTGGGGGTCTGCGTCTCATGTCTCCTGTTGCTTGCCTAGTGGAGAAAGGTGCTGGCAAGTAGGAA